TTCTTTTGTATCAGAAACCCCACCCCGAAATTTTAGGTGTAAACATTGCCATCCCATTTAAGTGACTACATTTCCTAGCTTCACTTGCAGCTGGGAGCAGCCATGTGACCCAGTTTTTCAAAGAGATATAAATAGAAGTATTAAATAAGACCTCTGAGAAGACTTCTTTAAAAGGGGATGGGTCAAGAACTTTCCCACCTCTTTTGTCTTTCCAAAATGTGGATGTTAATTGATTTTCTGCAGCAATCAATTTGGAGCATAAAAAATGGAAACCAAATGCTAGGAATGATGGAGCAGAAAAGTCCCTAAAGACTTCCTGAAGCTGCCACACTGGCCCAGGTATACCTATATCTCAACTTATTACGTGAAAGAATAAAACTTTGTGTTTTAACCCAGAGTATATAGACCTCTGTTAGTTACAGCAGAATCAAATCAACTGTTAAACTTATCAGTTGGCCATTCCATCTTGCCTATGCAGAGATTGTCACCAACTCAAATGTTGTGGCTTTTACAAAGGTCACATGGAATTTGGCATGAAATTAGTACACAATTCCATATTCTTTTCCAAAACAGAGGCATACCAAAGGGGGCAGTGAGAGTGGACAACCCTGAGGGCAGGCAATAGAAAAGGGCATCTATAGAAAATTTTTAAAAAAGACTAAAAGTCAAAGTGTTTTTTTTTTTATTATTACCATGCACCAGCAATTTTAAATAATGTCAGTGATAAAACACTCCTCCCTGAAAAAATCTTTGGTTGGTCAAAGTTCAAAACAATTGTTGTGGTTACTATTTAGTTTTAATAATATATATGAAGTTTCAAATTAGCACCTTTTATTACTTACTCTTTAATCAACATGGAACTTGACTCCAAGACTTCTCAGTTATACAGTTGTATTCTACTTGGAAGTTGACTCCAAGACCTCCCAGTTATACAGTTGCCCCCTGACACACACAGACTTGACTACATGTGTTTGTTCAGCTCATCTCTCTTTGTAAAGGTTCAGAATCACTCAAGGTAGCTTTGGGTGCATTTCATGTCTGTAATCCCTCTGGTAATATATGTTGCAGCATTTAAATAGTAAGTTCAAAGTAAACAATGATAGCACAGTGATTGTAAAAACAAAAAAACAGCGTTAGTTACTTCAATTCTGTCATTCTATGTGACCAACTAGAGTTTTAATTTGTGTTTAAAATGTAAAACAGCAAAACAATACAAACTTCAAAGTGTAATATTTTTGTTCAGTGATTACACGTTTTAGTTCATACGCAAGATAAGTTTCTGAATTTGAATATCTTTAAAATTAAAACTTATTGTTCTTTTTCATTGTTTGAAAATTAAAGAACAAATTGAGAAAATAATGAATAGTACTAATTGTTACATGATTATTACTAAAAATAGTTTTGTCATAGAGAGTATTAAAAAATGATACATTACAGATATCATATATGCTAGGTATACCATATCTCCAAAATATTAATAATATAGTTAATCTTCTTCAGAATCCCAGAAAGCAGGGAACTAATTCATTGGTAATCCACATAGAGCCAACCCTCAATTAGTCCCACTAGTGGTCAGGAGACCAAAGCCAATCATTTGATCTTTGTCTTAGATATGAAATGCTCCTGCAAGCATACACGCACTCTATGTTCTTTCTAGCCCCATGCTCAGCCATCAAGGGTCCAGATAGGTGATTGGAAAGAAGAAAGACACAGGCCATCTACAAACAATGTTGGGTACCGTCCTTTCATATAAATCATCTCCACCATTATCACCCGATACAAGCCACCAGCACCTCTAACCTGGGCTATTGTAAGAGCCTCCTCACAGTTCTTGTCCTTGCCCCAATGAAGTCTATTCTCTTATTAAAACTTAAGTCAGATCATGTCCCTCATCTATTCAAAACTTTCCAATGGCTTCCAATCTCTCTCAGATTAAATGCCGTATAAAATTGGCCTCCTGTTTTCTCTCTGATTTCACCTATCATTCTTCTACTTGCTAATTCTTTATGCCTAGGACATTGACCTCCTTACCATTTCTTAAACAAACTACTTGCGTTCTTTCTGAATCTTTGTGATGCCTAGAACTCTTTTCTAAACATACACATGCAGTTGTATTCCTTCATTCCTTCATATCTCTTGTGTCCTTTAACCAGAGAGGCTTTGATTAATCTATCATTTCTCTCTCTCTCTCTCTCTGTCCTCTTACCAGGGTTTCTTTTTTTTTTCTTAGTGCTTAGCACCTACTGACATACTGTATATTCATTTGTGTGACTATTCAGTGACCACCCCCCCCAACCTCTAGGACATAAGTTGCATGAGAGTGAGGGATTTGTTTTTGTTCACTGCTGTTTCCCCTGCACCTAGATCAATTCCAGCTCATAGTAGGTACTCCATGTTTTTGTTGAATAAATTAATGACCTCAATAGTGACTATAAGATAAGGTACTTTATCCCCACTTTATGAATGAGAATCCTGAGGATGAAAGACGTTTGACAATTGGCAAGAGTTTCAGAGCCAAGAAGTGTAAAAGCCAGGCCCTCAACCTCAGACTTATGATTATGAGAACTTTGTGCTATCCATTCTAGGCACAATGCCTAACCCAGGATAAATTGGCATTGCAGGCAGAAGCTATGAAAAAGTATACTGAACAATTTACCATCCAATGTGAACTCACAATTTAACACCCTCTATCTACTGAGACATATTTTATTCTATAAAATCTCAAACAATGTTTTATGTTTAAGGACAATGTTATATGTAACACTTGAAATAAGTTACAATAGTCAAATGTTCTAAAAAGAAATCTAACTTAAATTACTGTATATTGGACCTATTTTTCAATTTCCTATTTATTTCCATTGATTGTTCTGTTCATGGTTTAATACGACACTGTTATAATTTAAAAAATAAAATATAAAAAAAAGAAATCTCACTGCTATAAAAAGCTCAAACCCTACTTCAGGCACCTTGCAAATGAAAGAATAAGGAGCAATGACCTTTTGACTAGCCATATTATAAAATATTAGCTAGACATACACTTCTTATTTGTTCATAATGACCCACTAGTTAAATTTTGGCCAACATTTACTTCTAGGAGTCTGAGAATCGCAGGCCTGGAAGGAATTTTGATGATCATTAATAGCTTCATTCAACAGGTTAGTGGCAAGGCCAAGACTAGAGGTTTCCTGCCTCCCAGGCTAGAATAGACTTTACTATTCCTATCTCTTGAACTCTGGCAAATGGCTAAATAAATGATTTCATTATAAATATTCACTGCTCTGCCTCATTCCCCTAAAAATATGTAATGAGATTTTCCCGATCAATCAGTCTTTAATTACACAGTATCCACAATATGTCTGCCACTCTCTTCTCTCTCATACACAATTGACAAAACTTCAAATTTCTTCATTTAATCTGTTATCAGTGAGTGGCTCTGGGCCCCTATACTACAATATATTTGGAAGAGGAGGGAAGTCTCACCCAGACTCAGCTACCAGAAATGCCAGGACTGGCATGGGTTTTTTTCAGACAAATTTCATGGCATTAGTTCATCCTGAAGAATGTCCTTTCCCAAGATCATGACTCTTTGTTCCTTTCTGCCTCTCTCAGCACCATTTGAACAGATGATTCTGTGGAGCAGTGGGGAAGGACAGTGGCTTAGCTTTGCCTCCAAGGAGTTTGTGGCCCTGGGCAAGTCTCTCCCACTGTCTCAGTCTCAGTTTTCCTGACTGGGCTGCAGGTCTCTAAGATCTCTTTATCTGCTGTAGCCTTTTCTGGTTCTACAAACATTTGATGTAACCTTAATGGGATCCCAGGGAAGGAGGGAGGTCTGGGAAGAAGGGTCTCTTGAAGCCCTCGCATACAGGCATATAAACTGGATGCCTTTAAGAACCAGTGAAACAGAAGTATAATGAAACCCTGAGGAAGGTAAGAGGACAGCTCCTCTGAATACAATCCCAGCCGATGCTAGATTTCCTCCTCCTTTCCAGAATGGGAGCAAAAAACGAGTTAAATATCAATTTTTGCCCAGCGGCTTTGGGTGGGTGGCAGTGCAGAAGTCTGGGTTGACATTGCCATCAGTGCCTGCTGACCCAATCTAGCTGCCCTCTTGCCCATGACTCACAGCTGAGGACAAAGTCATGGTGGCCTCCCGCTCCCCAGAGCCCCTGACCAGGCTTGAGCTACCCCTGGCTAAGTCAGAGAGATATCAAGATGCAGCCACCACTTCCTCTCTGCAAAAGGAAGTCATCCCAAGGTCTCCAGGTGAAGAAGAGAGCACCATGGCATAAAATGAACTGATGGAGGATGATACTAAACACACACACAAGCACACACAGAGATGGGGGAGGAAAGAACTCTGCTAACTGAACCTTGCCCAGACCCATTTCCAGGATGGAGGTTTCTGCAGCTGTTTCTCCTTGACAAAGCCCCAGGTGTGGACAGGGTGATCCCAGCCCAGGCAAGGAAGAGCTGCAGGGCTCCCCCAGGCAGCTTTACAGAGAGTGGCCCTCTGGCCCTCATGCCCTGGGGCTGGCCAGGGGCAGGGGGTACACGCAGCCTAGTTAGGAGGCCATGCAGCTCTCCCATAAGGCCCCCTTCACAATCCCAAGCTTCGTGTCCGCTCCCTTCCCCCCTCCTCAACCAGCCCGCCTGCCTCCAGCTATATTCACTGTTTCCAGACAGCCCCTCCTCCAGCTCCCTTGACTCTATGGCCTCCCAGGAGACCCCTGGGCTGCTCCTGGTCGCCTCATCTAGCCCCCACCCCAATCTCAGAGGGCGACAGAAATGCAAAGGGGGATGGGAAGGGAGATTTCCTGGGCAGGCAGGCAAGCAGGGACTCCAAAAATGGCCACAGTAAGCTCACTGGTGTCTCAAGGACGGTGGCGAAGACAGTGGGAAGAGGCGAGGGGCCTCACTGCGTGGTGGCTGGTTGAAGGGACTAGAGGTGGGGCTGGGGGACTGAGGCTCAAGCAGGGGAAGACAGGACTGCACGTACTCACCATTCCCGATCCGCCCCTTATCCACTGCATGGTGCCTGCGAGGTCCTGCTTCTCTGAAGCCCGATGCCTGGCGCAGGTTGTCACGGGCTGGCTAGGAGGGCTGGGCTGGAGCGAGCTAGAGCCCCAGCGTCCCCTCCGCTTCCCCACCACTCCGGACCTCGCCTTCAGTCAGGCTGTTCCATGCCAGCAGGAAGGCTCTGCCTCTCAGCCCCGTTCTCCGGGGGATGGGGGGAATGGAAGGGAGGAGGGGTTGGCCAGGAGAGGTGCGCGAGAGGGGTCCCAATGCGCTGCCTTTGTCCCCCACTAAGGCTGGAGAACGGGGGGGTAGGATGCAGGGGGAGGATGGGGGCGAATAACCTCCGCCTGGGAGAAGGCAGCTGCCACTTCTGCCTGCCTCCCGCTGCGCTGGAGTTAGATGCTGTTTATTGTGGGGCTTTCCAATTGTGTCGAGTCAGCAGAAAGTCCTCTTCAAAGTTGCCAGAGATGTAGGGCCAACCTCCGGAATAAGGAATAATAAGATCCTGCCCCAGTGGAGCTATGCCAGCACTCTCATGCCTTCCTCCCCCCAGCCCTCCCTCTGCATACTCCCCTGGGTTCTTCTCTTTTAGTACGTGTACTCTCTTGGGGCTTTCATCTGCATTACTTTCACTTCTCAGAACAAACCCATGGAGGCAGGCATTAGTATCTCTATTTAACGGATAAATAGAGATTTGGAAGAGGGAAGGGATCTGTTTAAGGTCACATAAAAAACATAAACCTTCGACTTCACCCTATGCAGCTTTCCAAGCTTCTTACTGCGCGTGCTCTCTCTCTCACACACGCGCGTGCACAGACACACACGCGCGCGCGCACACACACACACACACACACACACCCCACTCCAGGTTTCTCCCTCACGCCCTTAGGAACATGAAAGGCAGCATGTTGATGGATTAATTTTCTATTTGCTTATTTTGCTGAGAATGAGTCAAATGTACATCAGCAAAACAGGCAAGCGGAGAAACCACCCACCTCTTCATGATGCCTGCAACTCTGGGCAAAGCAACCCAGGCTGGCACTTTTGCATCTGCTCATGCATCTGTCAGTCACATTCATACCCATTATTATTCCATATGATCCTTACGATAACTCTGTGAGGTGGACACAACAGGGAATGTTAATTATCCCCTGGCAGAGACATGAATACTGAAGTCCAGAGATTGAAAGACATCTGCCCAAAGTAGCACAGCCAAAGAAGACAATAATCCAAGGCTCCTGACTCACAAAGCAGGTTGGGCAAGAATGGAATTGCAAGAACAGAGGTTACAACAGCAGCAAGAGGGAATTAAAGTATATCAGAAAGAAGTTCCTGGAGGTGACTGGCATGAAGACATCATTGGCATGCTATATATACGACGTATTGTCCTCTACTTAGCATACCTTCCCCACTTCATCCAAACTGTTGTTTTGGCCACAAAGAGCTGGCCAAAGATCAAACCAGTTGCCTTAATGAGCACCCAGCCGTGGGAGTTATACAAGTAGAAGCTGAATGGTCCTTAGATAAAAGATTCCTGAATCAAGCGGGAGCTTGGCCTGGGTGACCATTCAACTTCCTGTCAAATCTGGTAGTCCAGGCATCAGTGATTCCACAATGTTCACATCACTTTTCCACCTCTGGGCCTTCATTCAAGATGAGCATCTTGGATGTATCTCCACCCACTGTCAACCAGCCCATTCAAACTGTCATGAGTCCTTATTTTTTAAATTAATTAATTAATTTTAATTTATCAATATACAAAGTAGTTGATTTTCGTGTCGCATTACCAATTCCAACCCCCATCAACATCATATCTGTTCACTTGTCTTAACAAGTTCAAGGAATTGTTAATTGTTCTGTCTTCATCCTGTCCCCCGCCCCACCATTTACTTGTTCGTATATTTATTATTTATTTATTTTTAGCTACCACATATAAGTGGGAACATTTGGTATTTCTCTTTCTGTGCCTGGCTTATTTCACTTAACATAACTTTTTCTAAGTCCATCCCTGTTGCTGAGAATGATAGTATTTCACTTTTTTTTTATAGCAGAGTAATATTCCATTGTGTAGATATACCATATTTTCCTTATCCACTCATCCTATGATGGACATTTGGGCTGGTTCCAACTTTTGGCTATTGCAAATAGAGCTACAACAAACATGGGAGTACAGGTATCCCCGAAACATGATGATTTCCATTCCTTTCAGTATATACCCAAAAGTAGAATAGCTGGGTCATATGGTAGATCTATCTGTAATTCTTTACCATTTTCCACAAAGGCTGCACCATTTTGCAGTCCCAACAACATTGTAGGAGGGTTCCTTTTTCTCCACAACCCCATCAGCATTTATATTCTCAGTCTTTTGGATATTAGCCACCCTAACTGGAGTGAGATGATATCTCAAAGTGGTTTTGATTTGCATTTCCCAAATGCTAAGTGATGTTGAGCATTTTTTCATGTGTATGTTGGCCATTCATATATCTTCCTTTGAGTAATGCCTATGCAGCTCCTTTGCCCATTTTTTAATTGGATTACTTGTTTTTTTGCTGTAAAGTTGTTTGAGTTCCTTGTATATTCTGGTTATTAATCCTTTGTCTGATGTATATTTTGTTGTTTGAGTTCCTTGTATATTCTGGTTATTAATCCTTTGTCTGATGTATATTTTGCAAATATTTTTTCCCACTCTGTTGGTTGTCTTTTTTTTCTGTTGTTTCTTTTGCTGTGCAGAGCTTTTTAGTTTGATATAATCCCATTTGTTTATTTTTCCCTTGGTTGCCTGTGCTTTTGGGGCCATATTTGTAAAGTCTGTACCCAATCCTACTTCCTGGAGTGTTTCCCCTGTGCTTTCTGTTAGCAGTTTAATTGTTTCAGGACATATATCTAATTCTTTAATCCATTTTGAGTTGATTTTGGTATATGGTGAGAGGTATGGGTCTAGTTTCATTCTCCTATTTATGAATATCCAATTTTCCCAGCACCATTTACTGAAGAGGCAGTCTCTTCCCCAGTGTGTAGAGTTGGTGACTTTGACAAAGATCAGATGGCTGTAGGTGTATGGGTTGGTTTCTGGATTCTCTATTCTGTTCCATTGGTCCATGTGTCTCTTTTTATGCCAGGACCATTCTGTTTTGGTTACTATCGCTTTGTATTATAGTTTAAAGTCAGGTAGTGTTATGCCTCCAGATTTATTTTTTCTTCTCAGGATTGCTTTGGCTATTCATGGTCTTTTGCTATTTCATATGAATGTTAGGATTTTTTTTTCTATTTCTAAGAAAAATGTCATTGGAATTTTGATGGGGATTGCATTGAATCTGGTGATCATTTTAGGTAGTATGGACATTTTCACATTGTTAACTCTTCTAATCCTAGATCATGGGATATCTTTCCATCTTCTTGTGTCCTCTTTAATCTCTCTCAGCACAGGTTTGTAGTTCTCATTGTAGAGATATCACATCCTTGGTTAACTTTATTCCTAGGTACTTTATTTTTTTGGTGACTATTGTAAATGGGCTAGCTTTCTTGATTTCTTTTTCTGCTAGTTCATTGTTGGAACATAGAAATGCTACTGATTTTTGCATGTTGATTTTGTATCCTACAACGTTGCTAAAATATTTCTCAACTCAAAGAGGTTTTTTGTAGAGTCTCTAGGCTGTTCTATATACAGGATCATATAATCTGCAAACAGGGACAGTTTGACTTCATCTTTTCCAATCTCTGTGCCCTTTATTTACCTCTCTTCCCTGACTGCTCTGGCTAGTACTTCCAACAGTGTGTTGAACAGGTGTGGCAAGAATGGGCATCCTTGCCTTGTTACTGTTCTTAAGGGAAAGGCTTTCAACTTTTCCCCATTCAGGATGATATTGATAGTGGGTTTGTCATATTTGGCTTTGTGTTGAGATACTTTCCTTCTATACTCAATTTATAGAGAGTCTTTTTCATGAATGAATGTTAAATTTTGTCACATGCTTTTTCCCCCTCTATACAGATGATCATAATATGGTTTTTGTCTTTGATTTTATTGATGCAGTATATCACATTTATTGATTTGCATATGTTGAACCAACCTTGCATCCCTGGGATGAATCCCACTTGATCATGGTGTATAATTTTATGTATGTGTTGCTGTATTCTATTATTTTTGAATACTGTATACTACTAGTATTTTGTTGAGGGTTTGTGCATCTATATTTATCAAGGATATTGGCCTGTAGTTTTCTTATTTGTTGTATCTTTGTCTGGTTTTGTTATCAGGGTAATGTTTTCCTCATAGAATGATTTTGGGAGAATGGCCTCTGTTTCAAACTTTTGGAATAGTTTGTAAAGAATTGGTATTAATTCTTCCTTGAAGAATTGGTAGAATTCTGCAGTGAAGCATCCAGTCCTGGGCTTTTCTTTGTTGGGAGATTGCTGATAACAGCTTCAATATCTTTGATTGCTATTGGTCTGTTCAGATTTTCTACATCTTCTTGGCTCAATTTTGATAGTTTCTGTATGTCTGGAAAATTATTCATTTCCTCCAGATTTTCATATTTGTTGTCATATAGTTGTTTATAGTAGTCTCTAATAATTCCTTGTATTTCTGAGGTATCGGTTGTAATGTCACCATTTTCATTTCTAATTTTTGTTATTTGTGTCTTCTCTCTCCTTTTAGTTAGCCTGGCTAATGGTTTGTCAATTTTATTTATCTTTTAAAAAATCCAAGTTTTTGTTTTATCGATCTTTTGTATCATTTGTTGGGTTTCTATTTCATTTAGTTCTGCTCTTATCTTAGTGATTTCTTTCTGTCTAAAACTTTGGGTTTGGATTGTTCTTGTTTTTCTAGCTCTTTAAGGTACAGTGTTAGGCTGTTTACTTGCCATCTCTTTATTCATCTGAAGTAAGCATTCAGTGTGATAAATTTCCCCCTCAGTACTGCTTTTGCAGTATCCCACTGGTTTGAGTATGATGTGTCATTATTTTCATTAGTTTCAATAAATTTTTGGTTTCCTGTTTAATTTCTTCTTGGACTGATATGTCAT